TTTATGTGTGAAACAGTACCATGCTACTGTATCCAGGTGTAATAATACTAACTTGAGTCACACGTTCGTGGAAACTGACAGCAGTCGGTTAAGGTATGAGATGATACAAGTGACTCACTAGAGCGGACCACATTGGGGTCGAGTAGTGCAGCTAAAACCAGCGCTCAAGAAACGAAGATTACGGGGGTGTGTTGGAGTCGTGGAAAAATGAGATGGAAGACACTTTCGCAACTGCTAACCGGGGTGCACATGTTTCACGTACCTCGCCTTTGTGTTACAAGTTAAATAGTGTATTGAAGGGACACTTAACGGAGCGAAGTAGGACATTGTCCCGCAGTAGTCTAAGCTGTAATAATCAGCTAATTGCAAAGCACAACAAAGACAGTTGAAGGATACGTCTACCTCGAAAGTTGGGAGGCAAGAACTAGGACTGTCGGCGTGTGTGATAGAATAATCTACGTTAACACTCACACCAATGAACAATGAACAATGATATATTACAGGTAAAATAGCGATTGCTTCACAAGTCCCGTAGGATGGTTGAAGTGAAACATAAGTGTAAATCGTCAATTTAAGCGTCTAGCGATACAGATGCCCTTCTTCAAATAAACATTTTAGAATACGTATTGAATTGTTACTATAGAATAATATGGGAAGTAATATGGGGAAGGTATATCTTAAGAACAATAGAAGCGACAACACTTACTCGTGCGCCACTTTCTAGGATTGATGCAATTGATGAATGCAATTGCACTATATCCGAAACTATATTCCACAACAGCAGTGTGTAAATAGTGAAGCACAAAAGCTGAGAATGAGCACCGTTTTTCAGCGTTTGTTTGACGTGGACATCTCTGATTATATAGCGTAATGTAACTGGATAAGCGGAATCATCCAGATGTCCTTTGAATACAGATAGCGTGGGGGAAGAAACAACGTATGTGGGAAGAGCGCTCCAATGTTGGCACACACGAAGGGAAAAGAAATTCCGGCGGCATTCCAACCGGCTGTATTGTGTGGCCAGCTTTAGCTGGTGTCCTCTGAGTGTGGTATTGCAATTCAGCTTTAGTAGGTGACGACAAGAATGGTTTGGATTCCTCAGCATCATATAAGTCATCATCAAGTCGCCACCCAGGTGTCGATATTGTCCACTGTAGACCCCGAGGGTCTTCAGCCTCAATCGGTAAGGGAGATGGAACAGGCCTTTTACTTTCTTGGTCGCCCTTCGTTGTGGCAGTTCAATAGCAATAAGATCTTGCTTTTGACATGGCTGCCAGGCGTGGAAGACGTACTCAGAATGAGGCCGAATGTAGGCGTTGAGCATCTGAGAAAAGATGGAAGGATCGAAGCGCCCGAATGCCCTCCGCAAAAGGCCAATATGTTGGTTAGCTTTTCTGGAGGCTTTCTCGGCCAGATATTTCTGCACTATCACGCTTAGATCGCATTCTGTTGAAGTGCGCTGCAATATATGATCCACCAGTCTGTATTCGCAAGTGGCTTTGTGGCACATGCTCAACACCTTGCATTTCGTAGCGTTGAACTGAAGCAGGTTCTGAGTCGACCATTAGTATACCCTGTCAAGATCATCCAGAAGTGCTGCATTGTCCCTGTGTGTTCTAATGGCGCGCCATATTTTGAGATCATCAGGGAGGAGTAAGGAGCTGGAGTTGAGTACTGTCGCGAGGTCGATTATGTAAATCAGGAACAGTCGTGGACCAAGTGCTGAGCCCTGGGGCACTCCGCAGTTAACGTCGATTGGGTCAGAGATGACGCCGCGAACTCTAACATGCAAATGTCGTTGAAGCAAGAAGTTACCTATCCACCCGAGGATTGGGTCACCAATTCCACAACACTGCAGCTTATGAAGGAGGATACGGTGGTTCAGACAGTCGAAAACCTTTGAGAAGTCCAGATATACTGCATCAACACCTACGCCGTTGTCGACAATCTCAGTCCAACTGGATCTGGCAAGCAGCAAGTTTGAAGTGCAGGATCGGTTCTTGCGAAACCTATGTTGTTCTTGTGCTATGATATTGCGTTCTTCCAAGTAGTTCATCAGAACCTCGGCGGCAATCGCTTCCATGATTTTGGAGAGCACAGGAAGTAGTGTTATTGGGCGATAGTTGGCCGGATCTGTACGACTTCCCCACTTATGGAAGGGAGTGACAATGCCTTGCTTCCACGTTGTTGGCACCCGCATCTCATCGAGGCATCGTTGGAAGAACTTGCAGAGTGGGTCCGCCAGGTTTACTGCAGCCAATTTCAACGACTTTGGACGAATATTATCAATGCCGGGAGAGGTATGCTCGCGCAGGGCAATTAGCCTTTTCATAACATCCGCAGTCGTAAACCTGATGTGGCTAACTCCTGGTAGTGGTGCAACGATCGGGAACAGTGTATGCGGCGATGTCGTGCTCTGGAGGTTCCGGGCGAATTCTTGGCATAGGGAGTTGCCCGCGTCGGTTGCGATTGGTGCGAGTCCACCTAAAGTGGGTAAGGCAGGAATTCCTCGCTGCACTCTGCGGAGCTTGTTAACGTGTCTGTACAGGAGCTTGGGGCTTGAAAGGAATTTCTCAGCTAGGTTCTGTTGGTGCCGTATTTTACCTTCATGTACCAGGTTTACGCAGTGATTTCTTTGGATAGTGTAGGCTTCCCATGTTTCGGCACTCGGTGACTCCTTGTATCTTCGCCAGAGTAACTTCCTCGTGACCATACACTTCCGTGTCCTGCTGCGTATGAATGATTTTTCTGTCTTTACTCGCGAAGGTCATTTTCTAGAAGCACTAGTTACTAACGTGTTGAATTGGTGAGCAAAATCAGACCATCGAATGGGGATGGGTGGCTAAATTAAAAATTTGTTTGTAAATTTATTTGAGACTTCGCCACATATAAGACTCAAGTCGCTCTGTTTGCCACCTGTTAAATCAGGCGTGCATCTGTCCTAGGGAAACGGATGAGTAATCCCTAATCGCCACTACTAAGCCTATGTCCGTGTAGACGGCGTATTTCGTCTCCGTATTTGCAAATGACCGTGTGTTTGTACCTAGTTGGACGTGTACCGTGCTTTCCGAACTCAACAGTGTGGATTGGAGTGTTGCTAATTGCGTCAACCATCGCCAAACTTGAAGGCACCAAACTTGCTGAGCATGAGGGACTCCACTCTCTGAATCTCAAATTCTTATCGGCCATTAGCTTACCTACCATGACCGATTTGTTCAACAGGTAGTTGTCTAAAGCTTCATTACCCAACGACTGGGAATGCTGAGTGGCAACGCTGTTTCCGAAAGATAGTGACGCAAGCAGGGTAGACAACTACAGTCACATTGGTCTGACACCTATTTTTGTCAGAGTTGCCAAAAATATCATGAGTAAGGGTCTATTACTGTTGCTCTAAGCAAAAGATCTAATGACGCATACACTGCACTGTTTTTTTTGTTTGGCGGCCCAATTTCTCGTGACGATGTATGAATGGTTGCAGCCAAGAGAAGTCTATCGACATGATATCCATCAATTTCAGTAAAGCGTCAGACAAGGAATCATGGAGTAATGTTCTACAAGCTGAGAGTGTGCATTGTTGGTGGATCACTGCATCACTGAATCAGTGATTCTTTCGTCGGGCGGAAGTAGAGGGTACAGGTCGGCGGTCATCTACCTAACTGGTATCTCTGTACTAATGACCTACCCCAAGGCAGGCTCCTGGGGTCCGCTCTGCTCGTAATTTACACCATTAATCTACTTCAGCTTCTTCAGTCGTCGTGTGCTCTGTTTGCGGATGACCTTGAGATTTGGAGACTGATTAGCACCCCGAAATCTGAGGTCTACTTTAGAAGGAACTCACTCGCTCCTGTAGGTGGTCTGCTTCCCAATCTAGCCAAGCAAGTCGGTCTACATAAGCCTGAAGATGGGTGGTGACGGTCGAACTTACACTGTTGATGGAAAACCGCTACATTCCACGCCTTGCGTGAAGGACCTAGAAGTAGGTTTGCGGTGCGAAGTGAAGCGGGGTGCAAACGCTATGAATGATCAAACGTAGCTTCTCCACTTGGTCTTAAGAGGTCGGCACTCGCTTCTTCTCCTCCATCATAAGAAAATTACGAGAGTATAGCCCACCCACCTACTGTCCACTTACCCGAGACGAGGCACACAATATTGAGCTGGTCTAAAAATTCGCTATTTACAAGGTTTACAAGGTTTACAAGGATTACTGTCTGAAGGCCGCTGCTAGAAACTACAACTCTATACCTTGTGCTATCGTCGGCTGCGAGTCAATCTAAACGCGACCTACGACATATCAGATCTCGCTGACTTCCCCATATTCAGGTCGCTGCTTCACTTGCGAACGTTATGCACTACACGCGGACACCGGTACAAGGTTATGGTGCCGGATCTGAAGCGAGTTCCCGACCCCCATGCCTTGAGAGATGCCTAGTAAATGTTTGGAACAGTCATGTCATGGAGTCCGAGTTTGCACAATTGTTTACGTTTCATTACTAGTCGAGTCAGTGAACGATACCATACGTGGCCTATTTCGCGAATCGCTTTAACGGTTCAGAAAATAATTTCCACAGATTTTATTCTCCAGCGTCGGTACTACTGCATTTCTTCCATTCCCAGCATTAGGTTTTCCTAATTTTTCGGTTCCACACTTAAAAGAAAATGAGGTGCCTCGTAAAAAAAGGAGCTGGTTCATTTTTAGTCGATTTGGCTATTCGGAATCAGTATCGCGTTATTCCTTTCACTAACGTTACAATGACTTATGCTTCTCAGTTGTTTTCCTTTCATAGAGATTGCCTATGAGAACAAAATTCATTTCTTTTCACACTAAGCTTCTCCATTCTATTCACGCTCCACTGGATACCACTTTCTGTCATTAGTAACCGTGGAATGCATTATAGCACCGAGGATTGGTTTATACACAATCTGAATGAGGATATTTCTATTCGAGGACATAAAAATACGTGTAGCTATGTTAAAAGCAATTTTTTCTATTACGAATTCAGGAAGCGAAAGCTCGTTGTCTGGAGGAGGCAGCTAAAAGGGAACCAGCGTCTCGTGCACGTTCCAAACTTTCTCATTCTCCGAAACACGAAGCGGACTCATCGCCCATCAATACTAATAGGAACAAGGCGGGGGCCTCATCTTCACCGAAACGGGGTGCCTCGGCAAGTAAAAATAAAAAGACAACTCCGTTGGATGATACCCATGAGAAGGTTTTGGAAGAATCCGTGCAGCAGGAAGTACAATACCGCCCAGTGAGTCCTGTTCCATTTAGCAAAGCTCAGGAAATTTACGAAACTGAAAATGAGTCCACTTCACGTTTTAGTGTGCGCTATTCATCTACTGAATCCAAGTGAATAGCTGCTGGGCATGCATAACTAAAATGGATGCCCTACTTTCTGTATACCAAAGTAGTTGATAACCAGACGAACCGTTATTCTGGTTTAAACGCAGGGTTAGTGCATGAAAATGGAGCACGACAGAAGATGGTCTCCGATTAATTGTGACTGTTTTCTGTGGACAGATACAGCTCTTCAACTGTACAATAACGCCCATGCACGCCGAAGCATTTAAAAAAATTCGGTGAAAACTAACACTATTGCTAAATAAAAAGTAAATTCCTTATTCTCGACAACGCGAGAGACGTCTGTACAGGTATGATCGGGGAAAGAAGACAATGATAGATCGGAAAATGTACAAAAATACAACATCTCCGTAACCCTAAAGGGATATGTGTGAATATATACATGCATGTTGCCTACGTACATTGCTAACCAAATTACTTCATATACAAATTTAGCGAAGATTTTCGTCTTCATGCTTTAACAGATATACATTACTTGAAACAGTTATTTCAAGTGATTGAAAGTTGCTTGATATCCCCGGTGCGACTGCGCTTGATGTGCACATTGAGAAGCTGCTTACCTGTCTATTACCCACTACCTCGTCCATCCTGGCTGTAAGAGATAGTTGCAAGTTGCAGGAGGGGTCGGGGTGCATAGTCCTTGTAGCTGTGCTAGGCTCGAAGAGTGGTTCCATGCACTCAGTGTGGAGCAGACTGCGGTCCAACCACCGCTTTGTGTGCCATTGTTACCCAACTACAGCGTGCGTGTGTTTGCCTGTAGAGCAGTGTGGGCCGGCTTCGCTGATGAATCGTGGCTCCCATCCATATGCCTCTCGGTCTTATTCCTTTGGTTTTACACAGGATATGGGGTGTGTGATTGGAGCTATGGATGGTGCAGCGCAAGCCACCCATGGTCCCTCTGTAAGCGCAGGCGTCCTGTGACTGGCCACAGTGATAGGCAAATGCGAAACCGGATACTGAACACCATGTTGCTTACATGTGCTTACATGTGCCCCATGCCGAAACTGAGGTTGCATTCATGATGATTCTTCACCACAGTTAGGCTAAACCAACTTACACTTAAACTCGGTCTTTTTAAGCTGGATAAATTTCATTCCACTTTATTTGGTTTGTTCTGCCTACCTGACTAATCTTCTATAAACTGGCCACATTGCTTACGCTAATAGCGCTTATCTTCGGTAAGTTTACTGTGTTTGTAGCATTTTTGCGTAAATTCTGGACATGTATTTAGCACGGATTCGTTGTTAACCAACTTACTTCATATATTAATTTAGCGAAGAGTTATGTCTACATAGCCGTATGCTTTAACAAATATGTTTTATTTGAAAATGTCATTTCAAGTGATTGGCTGTTGTTTGACATCCCCGGTGTGGCTACGCTTGGTGTGCATGTTGACAAGGCTACTTCTTTCAACCGTCTACTGCCGAACTTGCATGCTGAGTGGAGGGGGCGTCTGTCGTGTGGCCGAAGAATGGTCCACACTCAGTTGGAGGATACGGTCAGCCACCGCTGTGTGCGCTGATTCAAAACTGCAGCGCGCTTGTGTTTGCCTGTAAAGCGGTGTGGGCCGGCTCCGTTGATGAAACGTGGCTCCCATCCGCATGCCTCCCGGTCTTATTCCTTCGGGTTTACACAGGATATGGGGTGTGTGGTTGGAGCTGTGGGTGGTACAACACAAATCACACTTGGTCTTTCGGTAAACGCAGGCCTCCTGTGGCTGTCTAATGGAGGTTGCACTGACAGGTAACTCCGGACTCGGATGCCGCCAACCCTGTGTTTAAATGTGCCGCTGCATTTTTAGCTGCTTGCTCAGGTTGCCAATGTGAAAAGAGATGATCTAGGTCAGTGGACTGGATATGATAAGCCGAGGATGTAAGAGGCAGTGAATTTAGTCGGTGGCAAGCCACAACCGCCACGTCGTAGTGCTGTTGTTCACCACAATTTGGCGGCATCTGGTTTCGAATTCGCCTGTTACTGTGGCCACCCACAGGACGACTGCGCCTACAGAAGGATCATGGGTGGTTTGCTGTGCACCACACACAGTTCAAACCACACATCCCATACCCTGTGTAAAACCGAAGGAAGAAGACGGAGAGGCATGAGGATGGGAGCCATGTCTCATCAAGACAGCCTTCTCACACTCCCTCACAGGCAAACACAAGCAAGCTGTAGTTGGGGAAGCAAGCACACACAAGGCGGTGGTTGGACCGCGGTCCGCTCCACACTTAGTGCATGGAACCAGTTCTTGATCCTAACACGGCCAGAACGACCAACTGTTTCCTGAAGCCAATATAGACCAGGTAGTGGGTAATAGACAGGAATGCACCTTGGCAGCTCAAGTTCCCGTGCGGCCGCAATTTAACTCGGCTCTCGCTTTGCCCTCTGTGGCCACTAATTCTCCCCACACAATATTGTATGTGCGCTCGTTCGGACCAGTTCGACAAGCTCTACTCAGTGCTTCCCAACTCTTGAATCTAACCTGTGTGGATTATACTCTTGCTCCAGTTCCCAGTTTTCGGTATATTCTTTGCCAAAATTCACTTGTGTAAATACATCAAACCGGTTTTTCGGAAAAAAATTTTGGTCTCATTCGGAAGAAGAAGCTGAGTGCTCCCAAACTACGTGGCAACCATCCCTGCAAGTTGCAGCATAACAAAGTTACAGCCTTTTTGCTCCGCTCATCAACTGAGCAGTTCTAGGGACGCTTATCAGCGCTCCACCTGCATCGTCGCCTAAGGCAGACCGATTAATACACACTGCCGCTTTGTGTGTGTTCAACTGCGAGTCGATTGATCGCTGAACCCGACAGTCTGCGCGGTACGACCTCCATCTGCCTCTACCGCCTGACTTTGTTGCGGTTGAACAACTCAATTCGTGTGCGTGTTCTGACCTATTCGTGCGTCACCCCTGGCGCAAAGAACACTCATCAAGGTGAGCGTTTAGATAGGCCTTGCCGTAAACAATATGAGGACGACTAGCATTCCAATGGTTCAACATCGCCTATGTTTCGCAGACAATTGCAGTAAAGTCCTTAAGATCAGTGTTACCTGTTCTAGCTGCATTAGATCGTACTGTCCGCAATGTGTAGGCAAATCCGTCCAAGAAGTGAGACCGGCAAACCAAGTTGCTGACACAATTTGGTTGTGCCCAACATGTCAAGTCATTCCAATGGTCAACTGTTTATCTTTGCTCATGAAAAAGTGCGATAGAATGGCTGAGAAAATCGCGCATTTTGTAAATACTAAGCTCGATCCCCAAGGAGGTAAACATGGCCACGATAATACCTCACCCACCCAAAGTAAACTCCGAATCTAGACCAAGAAGAGAGCTAGACACTTCAACCGCACTGCAGCGTCTGTGACTCTAAATCCACTGGGTCACCTCACTCCCATAAGTGGACAAGCCTCAAGCATGCCTGCTTCCATTTCTCCAACCATAGACGCTTCACTTGGAGATTCAGCCATGACACTGACAGCTCAGAGCCGAAGGAAATTCGGTGCAGATAACAAGCAGGTAACATACGCACCGATTGCCTCGACAAACACACCGGGAGCGACACACATAGGTCTATCTTCAATACCCAGCACGCGTGGCGCAAAGCAGCTTTCAGCGTCAAATCCAGTGGTGCCTTCTAAACAACCCAAATTGCCAGCAAAAACTATAAAGCCAACACTCGCTAGACAAAACTACGCTGAGTTAACTCTCGTGTGCACCAATGTTCCCGAATCCAAATCTGGCACAATAAAAGGCAAGTTGCAAGACGATCGCAACCAATGGAGTTCCATCCGCGAGGTGATTGGTATTCTGGTTGAGCCTGCAATGCTGCAACGCGTAGCACGTCACCCGACCTCAGTGCACTCTGGTGAATCTCGAATTGTTCGAGTAACACTAAATTCAGCAGCTGAGACATTGGCTGTCCTGCTCTCAGCAGTTTCATCTCCGCAACTCACCGAGCGCAGTGCGCATATTACCTGATCTACCTTGGAAAGATCGCCCAAAAGAAGCAGTTGACCAGCGCGGCTTTCCTAATAGGGATAGCAAGAAAACAATATTTGTTCATGGTGTTCCCGAGCTTCTGCATTCTTCTGATCGCGATGCGCAAACACATCACCGAGAGCAGTAGCGATACATCCGCGAAGCACTCTCTGTTGACAAACTTATCGCCAAACCCCTGAAAAGCGTTAGGTCATCACCTAACTACAAGGGCTGCGCTCCAAGGCTAATGATATTAATACTACACTCCAAGAAAATGACGCAAGTTCTGTTGGATGGCTGGTTAACGTTTCGAGCTAGGTTGCCAACAGAAATCCGGCTAAGGCAGCAGGCGAACGGCCAAAAGTCGGAAGCAATTCGATGGAACTTGCAAACGCTACAAATTCTTTATTTTCACAGTCCTGCGGAGAGACCGACACAACAGCGCCCACGGCACACAATAGGACAGAGCACAGCACGAGTGAAACGTCTGTTCAGGAACGCTCAACAATGCCATGCAACTTGACTGAAATTCATAAACTAACATACGCTTAATGGCCGGCCACCTAACGGCCGGTTTAAAAACTAACACAAAATTGACATCCGTCAATGCACTCCTAACAACAGAAACTCCTATCTTGCGTGTACACAAACGTCCAAGGCCTTCTAAGCAAGTTGGCCGAACCGCGGGACCTCGTCATGATTACAGAGACATGGTTAAACCTTGAGATAACCGATTCTGAGATCAAATTACCCGGTATGTCGCTGCTTCGGACCGATAGAACCGGAAGGGGTTGCGGTGTGACTCTTTACTATAATACAAACCTCCGATGTAAAGTTATCGATCACCCGGAAATCCAAACTCCTGATTAGCTTTGGTGCCGCCTATGGTTGCGAAACAAGGACACATGTCTACTAGCCGTGATTTATCGCCCACCAAACTCAACATCGTAATGGACTCCAAACTGAACCACGTTTTCCAGTTTGCTTTGAACAAGTCCTACACTCACATTCTTATCACTGGAGACTTTAAGGTGAACGACATAGAAATTCCGGCAACGGAGAGTACGCAGTTTAAAGCCTGCTTGCAAGAGCTAATTGCTAGCCACCCACTCTACGACCACGTAACCGCTCCCACCAGATTTCGAACTGCTAACAAGCCGTCGATACTGGATCTTTTGCTCACTAACGAAAAACTCATGGTTCACGGGATAGTGACAAACACGCCACTGGGTCGTAGTGCTCATGTTACTCTACTCTTTGACTATATATGCTATGCGGAGTACCCTGAAAAGGAGGATGATAAAGTGCATACTGTCACGCACTACAATGTGTTATCTAAGCTTGTTAAGGATACATCTTAGACTTTCTTAACCGAATGCCCCCAGATGTTGCCTGGGAAACCTTTACAAGGACCTTTAGCACACTGGTTGCGCACGCATCGGAACAGAAGTCCTTCCAACCCAAAAACAAGCACAAGTAACTTCTGAGGAGCAGAACATGTAAATGTGTGTCCCGGAGGGATTTTGCATGGCGAGATCACCAGGACTGCTCGAATGCCGAAACCTGGACTGCGTACGTGACACGTCGTAACTTCTGGGTGAAACTGATCCTCTAGGACAAGGTCACTCATCAGCAGGAGTTAATGAAGCGATTCTGCACGAACCACAAACTTCTGTACAGGCACCTTAAGGGCCTCCGGAAGGTGAATCGGGGGGTTCCAGCACTAGTCACGGCTGATGGGTGAGCGCGAGCAGCAATGGAAGCAGCTGATCTCCTATGGCTTCATTACTCCCAAACTTTCCAGCGGGTAACGAGCTCAAACATTCTCCTCATTTCTAATACCCCAGCATCTGGTTTAGACAACGTCACCTTCACTGCGGTAACTGTGTTGAAGTAGTTGTTATACTTGCGTATCCACAGTTCTCCTGGAGCCGACAACATCCGACCAAAGGCTCTGCAGGCAGTATCTAGTGATCTAGCAGAACCACTGGCTGGTTTCTATCAGCGATGTCTAGAAGAGAACCGTATTCCACCAGTATGGAAGCGAGGGGTCATCACTCCTATCCATAAAGCAGGTAGCCGCACTGATCCCGCCAACTACCGTCCAATAACACTACTTCTTGTACTGTCCAAAGTGATGGAATCCATCATCTCAGATGCGCTGATGCAGTATCTGGAAAGACACAATTTAATAGCCCCAGAACAACATGGCTTTTGTCAAAATAATTCGCATAATGCTAACCTATTGATTGCACGTAATAGCTGGACTGAAGCTGTTGACGATGAAGTAGGAGTCGATATCATCTACCTGGACTTTTCAAAAGCGTTTGATTGCTTAGACCACCGAATTCTCCTTCAGAAGCTTCGGAACTACGGCATTGGTGACCCAATCCTGAGTTGGATTAGCAATTTTCTACAAGAACGACGGCTAGCGGTGAGAGTCCGAGAATCATTGTCCGATGCAATCGATGTGGCGTGTGGAGTACCACAAGGCTCGGTTCTTGGACCTCGTCTATTCTTGGTGTTCATTAACGATTTGGCGAGATCATTTAATTCCGATTTCCTATTTTTCGCTGATGATATCAAGATATGGCGAAGGATCAGAGGACCGGAGGACCACAAACGGCTCCAGTGCGATTTTAACACAGTGTCGAACTGGTCAGTTCAAAACGCCCTACCATTCAACGTAGACAAATGTCGCGTTGTACAATTACGCCATAGACATAACTACACCTATTTACTTGGGACAAACGGATTGCAGACCAGCTCCCAGGAACGTGACCTTGGTGTGATCGTACAGAGCGACCTCAACTGTTCAAAACAGGCTGAGGTAGCTGCGAAAAGAGGCAACCAGCACGTCGGCATGCTGCGAACGGCATTCGGGAAATTTGACCCATCAACCTTCCCAACAATGCACAATTCCTACGTGCGCTCGCCTGTTGAATACGCGATCCAAACTTGGCAACCTTGGTTGAATCGCGACCTAGAAGCGTTAGAAGCACCACAAGGAAGAGCAACAAAGAATGTAAAGGGTCTGCGCTATCACTCTTACCACCGAAGGCTGAAGTTGCTGGGAATTTTCAGCGGACGCTATCGAAGGCTGCGCGGTGATCTCATATTAGCTTATCAGATACTGAATGACCGCAACCACGTATGCCGCCATTTGCTGAAACTTAGCCACGACACGCAGCTCAAGGGTAACTGCTTAAAATCGAAGGGACAATGTATCCGTCTAGAATGTCGACGGAATTACTCTTCCCTTCGGGTTTGTCAACCCTGGAACGCACTCCCAGACTCAGTTGTATCCTCTCCTACCTTGGACGTTTTCAAAAAACCATTAGATCTTGCTCTTAGCTCCTAGCATTTTGTTATCTAAACTCCTCTATTGCCGATTACGCCAAGCATGCTTTTCAACAGCATTTATGTATTAAATGGACCCAAGTGAGCGACCATCTTTTACTTTCCTCACGCCTTACATCAACGATCACTGCACCCCAGTGTCTTTCTAAACGTTTACACTCGATTTTTTAAATTTTACACTGATGTAATTTATCGAATTATTCATGTAGGCAGAGGTTCGGTAGACGACTCAGATATATTTTGCTTTCATCATATTCACCCCAACCATCCTACGGGACGTGTCAAGCGCTTGCTTTTATCCCGTGATAAATCCTTGTTCATTGTTCATTGTGCATCAAGCGCCGCCACAGCGGAGATATAAATCAACAGCCAATCACTTGAAATGACATTAGCTAATAAATCATGTGTTACAGCATACGGGTATGCCAACATACCTCTTCGCTACATTAGAATATGAATTAAGATGGTTAGCAATGAATCCGCGATAAGTACAAAACATACATAATTTATTCAAAAAATGCCACAAGTGCAATAAAGTTAACGAGGATAACCCTAATTAGCGTAAGAAAAGTGGCCAGTTAAGAAAAGATTATTCAGATAGGCAGAACAAACCAAATAAAGTGGAATGAATTTTATCCACATTACAGAGACATAGTTTAAGTGTAATTTGGTTTAGCCGAACTGCGGTAAAGAATCAACATGAATGCAACATCAGCCTCATGTTGCTCGCATAGGCCTTGAAGTAACCAGTGTTCTTTACCCTGCGGTAGACAGTCACATCTTGGAAAACGATTTATTAAGACGTATATTTTAATTAACTCAGACACGGAGACCATAGAAGAGGCGGAGATGTTTTCTGTTGTTTGTTGCAAAACTTACACTGCACAACTGGTTTTGTCCGTGTTTAGCTGTTTCAGTTTTTTCTGCCTGCGTTTATGCTCTACGTGGCTAGGCAAAGTCCAGTTACGTAGTTATGGCGCTTTGAAGTACTGGGGTCCGCTACTGCAAACGTTCCTGACTATTCGGAATGTGGCTGACTGTACCACACTCCCTAACAACCGCAGACAATTTGGTACAAATCGAAAAAATAATAATGCTATTCTTCAGTCAACTTAACCGATGTAATAAGCTAAGTATGAGTCTTATTCTAACCACGACGTTCTATGATACACGTTTACAAAAATTTACCAATGTTGCAAAGCGGACATTTGTTCGTTTAATACATCGTGTTTAATATAGAAAATTAATGCTTTCACAATGGTTTTGCAATAATAATACTTTGCTGAAGAAGGAAACTATTCTCGCAACAAGACAGTTTATAATATATACAGCGATGGGGCTGACTGCCGTGTGCCCTAAACAATCGATGTGAACATGTATCTGTGCAAAGCCATCAAGCGAGATGCGTAGCAGCGACTTGCTTTGCAATCCAAACCATACGGGAAGAAATTTAAAAAGGACAACTGCATTGTTTCAAACACGTGTATCAGGAATCGTGAATGGGAACGGGAGGTAACGAATACTTCACTTATCTTTGCTGATGAAGATGGCCATAAAGGGTTGTGCTGTGTTTGGGGCAGTAGTGAGCACGATTTGTGGTTTCTTAATGGGGCATGTAGGTTAGGGAGCCACAGGAAGGACAGGACAGATAGAAGCCGACGTTGCAGGTCACGTGCATTCAGGGAGTCGGTGGCGGTCCACGGATTGTGTCCTTACCCAAGACTTCAGGTGAGATACATGTTGGCAGACTTCACTCCAACAAGACTTCAAGCGAGAAAAATATCTTTCCAATCGATGGGTGTTTACCAAATGGCAATTACCGGGCAAAAAAGTAATAAGCCTTAAGCAGTGGAGTACCAACGGATAAAGTGAACTGATGAACAACGTTGACAGCGAGTATGTAAAACAGATGAAAATGGCAGTTGCACCAATCCTGCGTGACCACTAAGTACTGCGACTAAGCTTGAGCAAATAAGCATCATGAAAGTAAAGGAAAATAACGTCACAGGGCGCCTTTGTAAAAGAATCAATCTGAAAATAACATTTTGGGCGTTTCCTATGCAGGTATGAAAAATGCAAAAAATAACTTAACCAACTAAACAAAATTCGTTTCAAGTGGGAAAATTCCAAGTAAACTGTAGAGTAGAAATAGCCAAGTATATCCGTAGTTCGGGGTGCGCATGTGCATTTTGGGCTGTTCTTTGCACCGAATGATTAGTTTGCATACATTTCGTTGCCAGTTTATGCAACAACATCAGCGCGGCCGCAAGGACCTGGTTCACAATGCCTCGTAAATGACTACCAGATACGATGAAACGAATAGCTTTAATCACTACACCCTGCTTTCGCCCATTCACTTATGCCGCTCCCTGCAGTTCACCGGATACAACCTGACAAACGTCTTACCGCATTGGACAGGAAGGACAACTCATTTGTTCCCGACCGATGGTGGCACGGTGAAAATTAAGCGATATCAGCAACTGAACGGTAAGTTCTGCATCCGCACACTGACTATGGTGTTGCAGACTCGTGCGGCACGTACCGGTGTTACTCTGTCAATTCCCTCTGATCCGTAGTTTATCATCAAATCATCCTCTAAGATACACCAGTCATTTGAACTGATGCTTCGCTGCCGTACAAACACAAGGACCAGAATTTCGAAGAATACTTAGAGCGTAAGACCTTAATGCCCTAGGCAAACATGCAGAGTCAGGGCGCCTACACCTTGTGAAGAATGTGCCATGACAAACAGCTGCTATCGTGCAAAGATAAGATGGCATCTGCGAGGCAGCTTCCTTGCGGCTTTCACTTCCCCGCATCATAATCAGCCATTACCCCGTCGATAACTCAGCGCCAAACACACTTTAAACAGGCAGTCCGACTAGATGACACCAGACACGCCACAGATGCTGACTACGACCAATGTCTTGTAAAGTCTCGAGCCAACTGCAAAGCGGATCTCACCTGGAAGGCGAGACGGATCAACAGCACCGAGTTTGGTAGTCAGTGACTTCACTTACTGTTATCAATGCAACTTTTGTCTACCCCGGTCCTTGGGCCACCCCAAATCTGGTAGACAAATCAAGGCACTCCTCAGTTAGTAGTGATCGGTCATGCGTAGTATGTGCCTAAGTCAACGCAACCTGTTCAATCCCATCTGCTGTGCTAACGAACTAGCTTGATTATCAATGCCTGGTAATCACTAGGCCCATCATCGATACTGACCCCCCGGAACAATCCGACACCAGCAGTGCCTCCCTGGTAACCAGGAAGGCGTTTCTGATCCTCAGACCGACGGCGATAGATCTCTATCATAGTTTAGGACCGCCCTCATTGTGTCCTCGCACCCGCGACCTAGTAGGCCGAGGGGGAACCCTTTCTGACGCCATTGATGTCGCAGCTTCAAAAAGGCAGTGCTAGCTTTTGCAATAAGTGAACTGACTTCAGTTGCTATGCACCCATCGTTGCTGACGCAGCCGATAATGTAAATGAATTGATCAACTACCGAGCTCCAGACTATTCAGATTCAAGGGCGTGCAAAACTCAGCCCTTCAGAGGCAAGCGTTTATTCGGCAAATTTAGCGAAAAGCACAGCATGCTTGGAAAGCCAAACTCCTCTATATAAGTTGTGTGTTCATATCTATAACTAACAACCCTTTTGAGTCGATGGGGTCCCTACTCTGACTCAGTTAAACAAGTAGTGTATAACACACACGGATGTTGGCTAGTCTGAGTCCAGTAATAGAATCCGCTCCGCACGTCTCCCATTGGCTGTCTGGCTCGCTCGGTTAGTCTATCCGTTTACCCGGAGCTGATAATTCCTTCACAGAGGGTTATCAATTTGCTGGTGGTCCCGCAACAATACTTTGCACTTTGAAGCTGCGAAGCGCAAGCCAAATGCTGGGACCACTTTGGAGAGGTTATTCAGGGTTGTTTGGGTTCCCCTACATCATTAAACCGTGAAGCAATATCGTCTTGAGATTTAGCGCGTGAACACTCCATGATGCAGTCCAAAACAAATTTGTACAAAATTTGGAAATCTGGGCAAGCCTGAAGAACCCCACTTATGGGACAACTCACCATGGACCCTGACCGGGATTGTGGTGTTTTAGTATGGAACGCGTAAAATGTTCACACCTTTCTGCTTAAGTATTTCGGACAGAATGCATCGATCGACTGGGTTGAACGCAGTCTTGAAATCGAGGAACACATCTATTTTCAGTATGTGGTATACGTGTCTCTACTCTATCACCTGCTGCAGAGTGAACGTATGGTCTATACAGCCCCGTCCTGAATTGAAAAGTTATTCGTAACTGCAAAAGAGAGAGCGTTTAATAAGTCCCTTTGGATGACCGAAGTGATGATTGCAAAACCAAGGGTTAAATTATGACAGAAAAAATGGGAAATTTCGGGTTTTAGGTGACTTACCAAGCCATTCACATGTACACAGCTGTAGTTCCCTCACCTGTACGCTATGGAATGGGCTGGTGAACACGCTATATGTATTACGTAAAGCAAACGGAATAATCTTTCATCAAGGCGCATTTTGGCGAGCGCTAACGAAGGGACGAAAAACATATGATTTGGAGGAGCCTTCCGTGCTCGGGATAGCCGAAGAGAGAAAAACTGTTATCGGCGACCAAGTGTGCTGTGCTGCGTTACAGATATGTGCTGGCGGCCTCTTACTTTAGTGTTGTAACTGAGTTGCAACAAGGTGATTAGCGATGTTAAGTATTAGGTGCACAATTATGAAGTTTCCTCGCAGACACCGATATTCAGCGCTGTACAAGCCAATGGTTTGGAGCCTAACTTAGTAAAGCAAGTGGAACAATTTTGTAAAGACTTTTTTCGCTCTGCCCTACGGAGCTTCAAGCTTATCAACACTGTATTAACCCCAAGTACGTCAGGCTTGGACCACATATTCCACCTAGGTCTTCAGGTAGGTGTACAGCATTTGCGGAAGCATTGGTGGCTCCCGCTCCCCAAAGCCCTCCGTAACAGTCCAAGGTGATAACGGGCTCTTACGGTAGATTTTTCGGTTTGGTTCCATCGACCCAGGTCATCCTGTGCATTTACTATGAGATTGCTTTCCTTGGAAGCACGCTACAACTGCCGATCCCTGAGTTGCCTTTCATGCGTAAGTTGGTAGCGAATGCTTACGACTTTGAATTTCGTCACCTTTAAGTGGAGCCGGCTTTTGTATGACTAGGTATACGCCCTGTCTGAATCGTTCTACAGTTCCGGCTGATCGTTCATTGTTTTAATATTATGTCGGGTTTTAACATCGTTTGCAAATAGTAGGAAGTTCTACTGAAATACCCTATCAAGCTAGTTAATGAATTATAGGACTAGAAGTGTGCTCGGTACCGATCTTTGGCTATCACCACAATGGAACTCATTTGGTCGGGACTGGAACTGCGAACTCTTGATTTCACCTGATGTTGAATGAGGACGTCGTTTATCCCATCGAGCGCAGGGTCACCGACTCAATATCTTCAAATATTGTGGGGGCGACTGCGTCTGTCCAGACGATCGGACGCTGTTGAGAAGTCCACGTAGACGACGTCGACATCTACTCTGGCATCGACAGATTTTGCCCAGCTTGCTCGGATTAGCAGCAGTTTCGTAGCACGATACCAATTGCGGCAGAATCCGTGCTGCTATTGCGCTACGATATTATTACTCACAAGGTATTCCATGGTGCCTCTGTGATTATGCATGCCATAAGTTTGGTTAGCACTGAAAGCAAAATTATTGGAGGATATTTCGCGTGCGCCGCACGATACTACTCTTGTGAATGTGAGTCACTATTCCATGTTTCCACATTGCATGAACTATCTTTCATCCATGCATCGTTGAAAGGACAAAGCTAATGCCTCGGCGATAATTATCGCGGCTGTCATTAATGCTTTGGGTCTTATGCCGTTCACGTCAGGAGAGCTGTTCACGCGCAAGCACAACAATCTTTACGTCACATTCGCTACAGCGAAGGATCCGGGGTGTAAACCTAGGGGCGGTGTGAGCGGGTGCCAGAGGCGAGTGAAATGACGATTTACTCTGGTAGGCGCGGGGAAAATGTCGCCGAACTGCGTTGGCTGCCTGTTGTGTAGTTAGCGCCAGACCATCTGCCAAGCTGCACTCTGCGGATCATATCGGCATGCATGCACAGCGTTTTAGAATTAGTATTGAATTTCTTCGACAGACCTTGTTGGTACTGGACTTCGTCACCACGGAGTAAGTTAGCGCAATGGTTCCGTTGAATTGGTTGGGCACCCCAGGCTTGATTACTCGGACGAGCCTTATAAGCCCGTCAGGTTGAATTCCTTGAGGTCATGCATTTTCTAGTCGGGCTCCTCAGAACAGACTTCGTTTGCTTCGGGCCTAAAACTTTGGTTTTCGGCACCTTTGCCACCACCCCGGTGAATTAGATGAGGACTTCTCACCAGCTAACATCGGGAGGTTTCTCGGCTAGGAAAGACCGGTTTGATGCTGGAACGAAGTCAGACAGGATGTTGGAATGGGTGACGGCATGGGCTTTCTCCTTTTCTCTGCTGATATACTCTGCACAGCAGGTGTGACGAAAGAGCGGCGTTGCATGATCGCTACGGCTAAGTGGTGCAGCTGCTGTTATGAGCACATAGTCTAAACCGATGGTTCGTCACTGATTCTAACTCTCGTAGCAGCGTTGGTATATAATGGTAAAACAAGGTTTACTTCTCGCAAATAAGCAATGAAGTACCCGCTAAGATAAGTTGGGACGCCGATTGCGTGAATTTTGATGTCCCTTTTTTCCAGAAGGCCATGAGTGTATGACCGTGCCAGGAATCGCTTCATAGCAGAAGCTAGGCGGTGATCCATCTCCAGAGTGGACATCGGAAGGCAGTAATCAATTGCTAATAAATGCACATCATCATGTCTCCTCCGCATCCGGTACCAAATGAAATCGTCATCATCATCATCATCAACAGCAGTACATCAGCCATTTGAACTGATGCTTCGTTGCCATACAACCATGAGGACTAGTGAAATAAAGAATAAGAGGGAGAAGAGAGGGACTTACCTGAAAACCTTAATGCCCTAAACAAAATTCAGGGTCAAGGTGCCTACACATTGTGTAGACAACATTCCGTCACAAACAGCTGGCTATCGTGCAAAGATAAGGCGGCATCGGCGAGACAGCTTCCTTGCGGCTTTCACTGCCACGCGTCATAATCAGCCATTACCCCGCAGATAACTCAGCACCAAACACACTTTAAACAGACAATCCGATTAGGAGACGGCAGCAGACGCGCCACTGGTGTCGGTTGCGAGCCATGTCCTGTAAAGTCTCGAGCCAAGCACAAGGTGAGTCACGTGGACTCCAACCCGGAAGGCGAGACGGATCAGCGGCACCCAGTTTGGTCGTCAGTTACTTTATTTCCCGCTGCCAAGTCAACTTCTGTCCACCTCGAGCCTTGCGCCATCCTACACCTGGCAGACTAAACAAG